ACAATGGATGTTAAGCACCCATATAACACAATTCCCTGTAAAAAATTTTCTTTCCACCCATTTTCCACCCTTACAATCAAACGGACCCTTAGAGTAAGTAAATGTCCAGAGTAAGAATCTCGTTGTTATCAATTTATGAAGATTGTGCACTCACTGGCCTTTGATAAAAATTAACAGGCGTTCACATGAGATGGATTATTTGAAGACTGTTAACAATTTAAGATTTTGGCATTATCCAACTTAAATGTGTGTTGATTTGAAAGGTTGTTAATCGAGAAAGATAATATGAAAGTAAAAGGTTGCAAATTGGACATTAAAAGCATTCAATAGAAAGAAAATCGTATTTATTTGCACCTGAAAACCTCAATGCTTAGGTTTTGTTCAACCACAACTTAGGGTTTGTCAAATTGAAGTCAGGTTTGGTTCCTTTAAAGTCACCCTATGGAATAAACTCGTTTGCAACGGCAAAATACCGCCCCCAAAATGTATGAAATCTATTTACAGGTCATAATACCATCGTACGATCCATCACAAAAACTTGATTTTGATTAGCCATGGTTATGAAACTGGGGCAAATAAAGCATTACAAATACATTTACTTTAAAATCTTATTTACAATAGTTATGTAGAAACTTGTACTATTGTATTGACAACGGAGAACTGCCACCATAAATCATGGTACCGAGACTTGGTCTTGGCACTGATCTAGACGAGAAGGTGGGCCGGTGAATCAATGGTTCAACTGCAACCACATAGTTGAATATGCATATCAACCCTTCTAAAATATAATAAAATAGTCATAATAGATGTCATTCACTAAATTAATCATATATTATTTTTCAATATTTACTCCATATCACCAAAAGAAGAAATTTTTTGAAGTTGAAATCAAAAAAAAAAATAATAATAAAATAAAATAAAATAATAATAATAATAATGTTAGAAAAACAATTTTTTCTTTCCTCATACATATTTAGATCTCGATTAGACCTGGAGAAAAGAAGGATTAACTTCGAATAGTGCAATATATCTAGGCTCGTGATCATCTCGAGTTTAGGTGATAATTAAGTGATATTCATCACCTGGTCATTTTAAAAGTATAGGTATGAAATTTTCTGTTCTCATATATTTACACTTTTACTATATACTAGTACACCTCGCGTTCGTTGCGTGTGATTTACAACGATATTATTATGAAACTCCATTTTCTGTAAATTTAGTAAATCGAATACATTTTGTGAATAGAGCTTACACTCATGAAACTTTATTTATTTATAATCAATTTTAAATTGTAAAAAACGGGTAATTTATATATTTGATTTAAAGTAAGAGTTTTGAATTCATTTTGTATTTTGTGTTTTGAGTGTCCAATTTGAGATTATTGAAAACGCATTCTTTTTGTCATTTTGTAAAATTATTTCTCAAAACACTTGCTCCAAAACGCTTTTTACATTGTTTTCAATTTTTCCCATTCTCCAGCAAGACGGAAAACGCCCCCTCCAGAACCACCGTCTTCTACCTCACAAACCTATCACCACCCACCACCTAGACCACCAGATCCCAGCATCATTCGAACCCCCTGATCTCCCTCTACAACGTCCGCAAATTATTTAGCCGAAAATCAGCCAAAACAACCGCACTACCACTCACTGTTTCAACCTATAAACACTGCCGTCGACCACCTTCTCGATCACGAACCACCACAAATCCACTCCTCTCAACAAGGCGCATCCAATACTACCGTGGGTCACCTTCGATTATCTCTAGAATAGGCTAATCTTCTGGAAGTCACCTTCGATTATCTCCAAAATTGACTAATTTTATGGAACTCGTTGGTGAGTTTTGAAGCCATAACTGGAGTCGTCTGGGGGTAGGCAATCGACCAGTGGTGGTGCGTGACATTGGGTGTTGTCGGATGTTGAGATTCCAGCCGAAGCATTTTGTGCTAAATCAGTTTTTGAGGATTTTTTTTTTTTTAAATCGATTTTGGTATATGATTAGATTGTTGTTTGTAAGGTAATTGAAGAGGGGATTGAGGGCTTCACAATGTTATATTAATTCGACCATTTTGGAGGAGGTTGGCCGGAGTTTAAAGGGTTAGAAAATGGCGATGGAGTGTGGCTTGGCAGTAGACATGGGGAAACGTTTTGGCTGTTTCCCTTGTTTTCCACCGACGGAACATTTTGTGAAGAAAACGCCCAAAACGGCATTTTGGTCGTTTTATGTTTTCTCCACAATTTATTTTTATGTTTTTGAAAATCTATTTTCAAAAATGAGAGAGAGAATGCGTTTTCACCATTTTGAAAAATCGAAAATAGAAAACGACTTGAAAACGACAAAGAGAACGACTCCTTAGCCTTTAAAATGATTTTTGACTTTTCAGAGACCTAGTCAAACGGACCATTAATCATTTTTGGTTAAATATACTTTAACATTGTATTTATTTTGATTTTCGACAGCGCTATCACATATTACGTGTCAACTAACATCTTGTTTTGCAATTCAAATACATGTGTAGTTTGTAAAAAATTCCACAGCACTCTTCATATCAAAGCCACTATTTTGAGAAATACATTAACACAAATAATTTGTTTAAAAAATATATCTTTCCCTTTTTCTTTAACTCAAGTAAACTTTCACATAATCAAATTCCAGGTGAATTTACACCTACGCACACATGTAATGTTCTAGTTACAATAATGTATACATTACTTACAGTTACGGGATTTTCATTATACAATGAGAGACACATAATTCTAAGATATTCATGCTTGAGGGGTTTAGTTAAGGATTACTATAAGGCGAAAGTAAAAGAATAAGCTCCTGTTTGGTGGGGATTAAAAATTAGATTTTTAGTAAATTTTGATAAAAATTGATAAAATGTGTCTAGCGTTAAATCATAGATAATAGATTCAAGATTGTACATAATGTGTGTAAAGTTACTTGCAAATTTCAGCCCTAAATCAATGAATTAGTCTCATCTTAAAAGTAGCCTCCAAGAAAAATGGAAATGCGGCCTCCAAGTAAACTCCCTATATAACCAACACAACCTCTCCCTACTACAAAATAAAAACAGCCGATTCTGAATACCAAATAACCAAAGGAACAATTCCACCATGGCAGCAACACCACCTACTCTTCTTGGACCACCAGAAATCTACCAAAAACCAGCATCCTCCACAGGGACGGACCCAGCGTTGAAGCTCAGCCCGAGCGGACGTTAACCGGTCAACGTCGATCAGTCAACGTCGACGATCAGCAATCGTAAGAGCGATGTCGTTTATTAATATTTAATTACATAATATTAAAAATTACTCAAAATATATATATATATATATACACACACGATCAAGTAATAACATAACAAAATATGTCACACTTATCAAGTTCAGGTCACATTTCATTTTAAAAGCAATCAAAATTTATTAGAACAATGTCATAAAACCTAACTTACATAACAGAGAGCATATACCAACAAACAGAGAGCATACCAATTACCAACACTTGTAATAATATAGCAAAATCGCACATTTATAAGATGATGAAATAGGTCACAAATTATCCAAATCACGTGAAGAAGGTAAAATCAAGTCACGAAACCTAAAGTGGATCATGTATAAAACATTACTCAGGTCACAAAATGCTATTTCGATCACAAATTACCCGAAATAGGTCACAAATTGCCCAAATCAGGTCATAAAACCCGATTCATATAGGTTACAAAATGCTATTTCCATCACAAATTACCCAATGCCACAATCAGGTCATAAAACCCGATTCATATCATAATCAACATACCCATTAAAAATTATGTCCAGAGAGCGAATTTCACCTTTTTTTTCATCGATTTATCGCCTGATGTCGACTTCTTTTCTTTCTTGGGTGAAGATGATTCTTCAAGACCGTTCTTCCTTTTTCAAATCTCTTTCTATCTTCTCTTTTCATCAACACTAAGAGTTAACGCTGGGTCCTTCCTTGCTTGGTAGTGATTATTTTGGTGATGATTATGCAAAATGGAGTTGGAGTTTGAAGGAAGGCAGTGGAAGATTACGTGCAGGGGTTTAGACTTTAGAGAGTAGTCAAGTCTGAAGATAATTGTAGAGAGAGTCAGAGAGAACACATGGGTAGCAAAGGTTGGCCCCTTGGCCCAATTCCAAAACAAAGAATGATGGGCCGGCCAAATGGCCCAACTTCAAAACTAAAAACAAAAAAAAAAAGGACTGCAGCAGGGTTGGAGGAAGAAGAAGAAACAGGCAACGTCGGCGGCAATCACAAACTGCTCCGGCTGTCCGACGGAGCCCAGCACGTGCGGCCGCCCCCCTGGACGGGTGCTGGGTCCGTCTCTGATCCTCCACCGTTGAAGAGCCGCCAGCCACCATCAAAACTGATCCCTTCATGGACTTAATGGTTTAGACTTCTTTTGTTGGGGCAAACAAGCCCCACATCGGTTGTGGGAAGAAAATAAATCCACCATATAACGTAAGTGGGTTACTCCACCCATTACCAATTGGTTTTGGGATGGAGCCTCACTTGGGCCTGGTGGTGTGGGCTTGGACCTTGGGTAATTGCTCTTAANCAGGCTACGATGGATTATCTCGATGAGTGGTGATTTACCTCGTGAGCCTTGTTTGAGGGAGAGATTGTTGGGGCAAACAAGCCCCACATCGGTTGTGGGAAGAAAATAAATCCACCATATAACCCAAGTGGGCTACTCCACCCATTACCAATTGGTTTTGGGATGGAACCTCACTTGGGCCTGGTGGAGTGGGCTTGGGCCTTGAGTAATTGCTCTCAATAATTCCCTAACATCTTTGTCCGTGTAGTTCCTGACACCCCGCCAGAAACCTTAGTTCGGCAACTACAATCCCTTGATTACTTTAAAACTTGTTTGCATACGTGGTGTTCGTGGCACTGGAAAATCTGATAAAGAAGGTTATTACACTGCTGCTCTTTGGCTTCACAAACACCATCCTAAAAACCTGGCGTGCAATTTAGGGCCTATGGCAGATTTTGGGTACTTCAAGGATTTGCTAGAGATTCTTTTTCGGCTTCTAGAAGGAGCTGACGCTCGAAAAAGGGCTCGAAAAGCTGGAGGCAGGAGCAGAGAGATGGAACAGGGCATGCGAAGGGGCAAGGGCAGGGGACGTTATGGTGGGAGGTATTTTGGGGGTTTGGGACGTTCAAGAGAGGTTCAGATTGAGATAAAGACAAATAACATGAATCCAACAAAAGAAGAAAAGAGGATTGCTAACTGCTAAGGCAAAAAAGGTTGTCCAGAGGTTTAATCGTGACCCAGATTTTAAGTTCTTGCACAGTCGTGTATCAGATCTTTTTGCAGTGTGTTTGAGATCAGATATGAAGCTGCTGAACTCAGGGGATCTATATAAGATAAGCCATGCAGCGAAATGGTGTCCTTTGGATTTTTCCTTTGACAGATCGACACTTTTGTGTGAGAGCATTGCCAGAAGAGTGTTTCCAAGGAAGGAATACCCTGAGTACGAAGGAGTTGAAGACTCAAAGATGTCCATTATGCGTATCGCACAAGGGATCGATTAAGGAAGCAAGTACTGGTGCCATTGCGCAAGGCCCTAGAGTTGCCTGAGGTTTACATTGGAGCCAATGACTAGAGATCGATTCCTTATGACAGGGTGGCATTGGCATCGGTGGCCATGAAATTGTACAAGGAGAAGTTCTTAAAGCACGACAGGGACAAATTCGAGGAATATCTAACGAAAGTGAGGGCAGGGAAGGCAGAAATTGCTGCAGGAGCATTGCTGCCTCATCAGATAATTCATCACTATTTCATGCTAATGGGGATGAAGTTGCAGAGCTTCAATGGAGGAGAATGGTGGAGGACATGGCCATAAAGGGGAAACTGAATAACTGTCTAGCAATTAGTGATGTTTCAGGGAGCATGATAGGGATTCCGATGGAGGTGTCTGTGGCTCTTGGTATATTAGTATCGGAACTGAGTGAAGAGCCATGGAAAAGAAAACTTATCAAATTCAGCGCTAACCCAGTGTTGCCGAGAGTCAAAGGAGACAGTTTGGCAGCAAAGACCAGGTTTGTAAGGAGAATGGAGTGGGCTATGAACACGAAATTTCAGAAAGTGTTTGATCTTATATTACAAGTGGCTGTGAACAGAAAACTGAAAGAAGACGAGATGATTAAAAGGTTGTTCGTGTTCAGTGACATGGAATTCAATCAAGCTTCTGAAAGGCATTGGGAAACAGATTACCAAGAAGTTGTGAGAAAGTTCAGCAAGAAAGGGTACGGAAATTGTGTGCCCGAATTCATGTTTTGGAATTTAAGGGACTCGAAGAGTACGCCTGTCCCGAGGATCCAGCCCGGGGTGGCACTTGTGAGTGGGTTTTCAAAGAATTTGATGACATTGTTCTTGGAGAATGGTGGATTTCTCGACCTTGAGGTTGTTATGGAAGCTACGATTTCTGGTGAGGAGTATGAGAAGTTAGTTGTTCTTGATTGATCAAAACATCTTCGGATCGATGATTGTGTTAAAATGATATAAGGTTTAAGGTTTAGTTTCAATTGATTACATTGCAGGCAATGAGCCATTATTACTCTGTAAAGATTTTCAGCAATTATGCTTTCTTCCCCTCAGTATTTGTGCTTCCTGCAATTATAACAATTACTTCCCATTGATCATATGTGCTCTTTGGACCAACTACAATTCTGCAAGTCAAAAGAATTGACAAGTACATTTCGCACGTCTGATGTAACTTGAAAAGTTGAAAAAAACTAAGTCAAAATCAACAATAAATTTTAACAACACATTCCATGAAACTCGCAATTTTTATCAACTTTTAGACCACACATTTTATTAACTTTTATCAAAATCTATTTAGAATCTGACTTTTAGTTACAACAAGCAGGGGCTTCGCGATATTAGACCTTGAATTTGCTCCTTGGACCAACTACAATTCTACAAGTCAAATAATTGACTAGAATATTTCATATAATTAGACATCATCCATCTAAAAATCTTGTGTTTCGAAATGAAAATATGTCATAATTACTGATCATAATTTGTATCTTTTATTTTTAACATTGAAAAAGACGACAACTAACTTATTAACGTGACCCGTTCAGCAACAGCTCACAACTAAACTAGCGACCCGGTGGTTTGTCCAGGAAAACATCCAGATCGAGTTTGCGTCTCATGACTATGGTATCAAATGTTCCTTGTCCATCTCAACTGCTCAAGACATTGGACTAATTGCTCCTCGAACAGACTTGGATTCAAGGCAGAGCCTCTCTATAAACAAAGATGAGGATTTTGGATCCTAGCATTTTAAGACCTTAGGTTACAACTACTATAGCTAGAGAAGAACCTCAGACACCACTACCTGTAGCCAGTGTTCTAAAATGCTTAATGCGTTGCGATGCGTCGAAGTCGAGAATCAAGAATCCCAAGTTTTATATCAAAAAAAATAAAAAAATTTAGACGTCTCAATGCGCGCATAGGCGATGCTCGCCTATGCGCGCATTGGCACGCATTGAGACGCCTAGGCGGTCAACAAAAATCGGTGACCGCTTTTTTACCCGCATTGCCCATTTTGACGCGTTTTGTACGCGCGTCGCGCTAGGCAGCGCATTTGCGCGCCTTTTAGAACATGGCCTGTAGCTGAGGTGCATTTAGGCATGTTTCATCATGCACAAACTTGAGTTAGTTGTTTAACCGAATTTTCATGGCAATATGCATAAAGCAGGGCAGAACATTTTACAATCACAAAATGATAATTGTTCGCTAGTTTCAACACAGAAGGTAAAAAGAGAAAATGCAGAACGAAGGTTCCAGAATGTGGTTTAGAAGGGTACAATATTTCTACTTCACCCACAATTATTAATAAACTTCAGAATTCTTACAGGAACTTCCTGTGCGGCCTTCCTGCATCCTCATCTTGCATGTGCTGCAATCAAAATTACCACGGAGGTAAGTATTATAAGGAAGGTCAGGAAACTTCGACACACAAGTCACATGGAATTTGGGGGAGGGGAAGAAACATCGAAGGCAAAGATGACATAATTTGTTCGAGATCTGTTTGTCCAAAATCAACTTAAACTTAAAGTTTACAAGCATAGAGCATACTGAAATAGAAGATATCTGTATTCAAGAACCAGTTAAAAGGCTAAAAGCACAAGAGACCCCCTTTACAGGTGCAAGTCAAATAATGATGACACTGATCTCCAATTGGAGCACTTACTGGCATTCAATAATTGATATTTTAAATTAATATTTACTTTTCATTTAAAACACCAAAAACAAAGGGAAAGGAATGTGTTGAACCCCAAAATGTATGAAAACTATTCAGCTTAACAATCAAATTCTCAAATCACGATACTCGTATGTAAAAACACTGTTGAGAAAGAAGAAAAATGAATGAAAGGGAAGTAAAGTAAAAAAATGGAGAATAAAGGAATAGCGTGAAACTATCCCACATTGGTTGAGAAACCAAAAATTGATGGGTTTATCAACCCACTGGAAATGGGTTTAGATTCAAAGGAATACCCAAGTTCTGTAGACGGTGAGAGGAGAACCTATAAAATTTTGGGGTCGGGAAAATGCAATAGCTGCCTCGGCCTCCACCCACTAGCTCAACATGTCTCTGGTTTGAGTTGAATAAAAAATTATTTCTTTGGTAATTTCTTTTGATTTTTAACCAATATCTGGAATTACAGACCGGTCGAGATATTTTAATTTGGAATCATGCTACTGTTACAGAAACATTTCTTCTGTAGAAGCAACAGATAAGACACATTGGGGTGGGCCCCATTTTTTATAATAATATTTTATTCACATGGGGCCCACCCCCGTGTGAGTATATGTAAAATTTACAGAACAAATAGTTCTGTACAAGGAGTAAAATCCTTTAAGTTGCAGGCCAGGCCAAATGATTGTTAAACAAACACAGTCAACATTCTAACCCGTGACTGGACCTGACCTAAATGATGTGATCATTCGGGAAAAATTCAAATGTTAAGGTTTGTGGTCTAGTGGTGTGTCTTTTCAGCCCAAATGATGTGCCCTTTCAAGAAAAATTGCTTCATTTCAATTTCATTTTTTCGCATCTTTCTACTTATAAATATTTCACCTTTTTGTCCAAACAATTCAACTATCTGAAAACCATGGATTTAGTTTGAATGACCATTATAAATAAGATCTTAAAAGTTACATTTTCATCCCACCAAGAATTTTCATCTCGTCTCTCTTTCATGCAACTAATTTCTTCGCTTCCAACAGATATTTTTGCTTCAACTATATAATATTTATGCTTCGAAGATAGATGGAAAAATACAGTTTTGTTCATTGCTTCCTGTGGGATTGAGGTGTTGCTTCAAAAGAAACGAAAATCCACTCCATGGTATGAAAAGATTGCTCAAGACTTTAAACAAGAGGAGCAAATTTGTCTTTACTAGACAATGAGAATTCATTGAATTCAGATTTCTAAAAGTAAAGTTTATTTAGCATGATTAAAAATTACAGCATACCACCTAGGATATCATAGGAATGAAATAAGAAGAAAGGAACATGCATTTCATTCCTAAACTCAGAAATGTAGAATTACACGTGCACACAAACATATAAATATAATATATGCCAAATTGAAAAATATTTATTGCTGCACTTTTGATTTACTGCACCACAGACAAGGTACAAGCAGCAAGAAGTCGAACATCTTCAGAGACTTGATTAATGAGCTAGTACTCTCTGACTCAATATAAAACTATCCCCAACAAGTGACAAGAGGAAGAAAGCGTGTGACTCAAAAATTGTGTTATAAGCAGAACTAATGCGAAAATCAATAGAAACCTCAGTAGAGTTAGAAATTACAAAATAGAGAGAAATATTTTTCGAAAAGCAAATTTTGTCACTGCAATTAGTTTGCGATTTCATGTAATCTTGGCCATTAAAAACATGAAAGAAAGACAAAATTCAACATGGATCTATTCAATCTTGCTGAAAAACAAATCTTTATAGGTCCTTCTTCAATGCACATCACAGATGGAGAAATACATGAAAATGGCTCAAATGGAAAGGCCATTTTTCCAATTTAGCATTTGACCATTTTAAATACTAGAAACTAACTAAAATACCCTAAAATATAATATTTACAACCATGTCATCTTAATATTAAAAGATTTCAATTAAGCCCTCAAAATATTTCATTATTGCGCCCCTTCGATTATCTTTAATATGAATAATATTAAATTTAAATAGCGCAAACCACATTTGCAATCTAATAAGAGGTCTTTCAGCTGCACTTGTTCAAAGTATAATTGTAAATAATGGTTTTACCTGAGTATTATCTGTCCTAATAAGAAATTTTCTAGGTAGA